AAGAAGAAGAATGAAATATTTACAAGCCAGTAAGTCTTTTAATTTGGTAAATAGTTTTAGAAGTTGTCTTAATTTAGCACTTTTTGTATTTTCAATGCATAAAAGATTTTTGAAATTCCTACCAAAGTATTTTGGAATAAAAATCACATCTTCATAAAGGGAGAATGTTGTAATAGTTTATGTTTTAGCATGTAAATATCATACTATCATCTCTGTGCAATGGCTTGGTAAGAGTTTATTTCGGTATGTTAATGAGCCTGAATATTATTACCTCTGAGACATAGAGTGTTCATTACTCCCCTTTTTTGACCCAGAGCTATATAAGCATATCTCTTTTCACTTGGTTTAAAAAAAATGTTAAAAGTTGGATTGCACTGTATATCTTTCTGTATATTTTTTATAACTTTTCAAATTCTTCCTCCTTTTAAGTTCTCAGGTTAATCATCTTTAGAAGACTGGATTTTTGGATAAATACTCCACTCCATCACTATTGACTTTTAAAACGTAATAATGCAAACCTATACCACTGGCAAGAGTCCATGAACTTTTGATTACATTGATTAACAGCGCTTGGAGCTTCCTCAGGGAATAAACAATGACATCAGCAGTGGTTGACAGTGGAGGTTCTATTTTGGAGCTTTCCAGCAACGGAGTAGAAAATCACGAGGTTAGACATCCAATTTATTACATTTCTGTTTTGTTCACAGAAATCAATAATTTTGAAATGAATGAGAAACAGGTATTATGAGAGTAGAAATATACAATGCATGAAATTGCACATGTATATGTCATATATCTTCTTAAAATTTAGGTAATAGAAGGTTGAGGAAAATACTGCAGGGCTCACCTGAGTTGATAGAACGTACATATATTAGAATGAAACTTGAAGAAAAAAATTGAAATGTAAGAAGTAACACTAGTTGAGACATAGACTTAAATATCTAATAAGATATATTATTTTGGATTATAGAGTTCTGTAGATATATACTGTACCTGAATACCTGCATTAGATTAATCTCCAATAGAATTTTGTGTTCGCTTTACTTGTCATCTCTGTTTCTTGATTATTATATCTAATTCGGTGTGGGGATCCATCATATTTTAATCTAATATATACACTTATTCATTTGGATAATTAATAAATCATTATACATGTAAACTTTTGAATCATTAGCACATATTGTTATTTTCCTGTTATTGATAACATTGATGAATAAGAGATGGGAGTAGGTAATAACAGTAACAGAAGTATGTGAAATATGTAACAGAAATATGTGTACCATTCAATAAAAATTGAATATTAGAAGGGATCTAAATTATAATACAATAATGCTGTGACAGTAATGGACAAATATTGATCCATAGATGAGGTTGGAAAATGGAGCATTTATGGCATTAAAAAAAAATTTGTTTTCTCTATTTTCTATGAAAGATACTGCTGTTATTGATAGTACTAGTGTAGTGGTCTGTGTATTCTGGACTCTGGATTCTTTTTCTTGGTATCTGTTCAGTTTTCCAGATTAGCTTATGGGCAAACATGAACTGAATAAAAAAGAAAAAGTTGTGATCATATCTGTAGTTACTGAAAACCCATTTGCAAAATTGTACACCCATTCATTATACTAACTCCCTAAAGTAACAATAAAAGACAACTTCTTCAGCCTGATAAAGTCATCTGTAGAATACCCATTACCAACATTATATTTAATGGTGAAAGACTGAATGTTTTCTTTTTAAGGTTGATAACAAGGCAAGGATGTCTACTCTGAGCATTTCTATTGCAACATTGCATTGGCATACCTAGCCATTTCAGTAAGGCACAACAAATAAAAAACCCACAGACTGGAAAGGAAGAAGGAAAACTGTCTTTATTTCTAGATGATATGATCATGTACATAGAAAATCTTAAGGTGTCTGTGCAACAGCTGCTAGAACTAATAAATTTAGACAAGCCAGAGCATACAAGATTAATATGTAAAAATCAAATGTATTTATATATGCTAGCTACAAACAATTGCAAAATGAAATTTAAAAACAATACTATTCAACAGAGCATCAAAAAAATGTAGGGATAAGTTTAATAAAATATGTGTATACTGTATACTTGTAGAAAACTATAAAACATTTTTGAGAGAAATTAAAGAAGACCTAAATAAATGGAGATATATACCATGTTCATGGATTGGAAACTTACTATAGTTAAAAACAAAGTTGGAGGGTTTACACACCTTATTTAAATACTTACTATAAAGCTCCAGTATTTGTGACAGTGTGGTATTGGCATACCAGTAGACATATAGATCAATAGAACATAATATAGACCCACACATATATGGCTGATTGGT